CGCGGCCTTGGTGGCCGCACCTGGCGCGAGCACCGGTTGAGCCGTGTGATTCGAGCGCCTCAAACGCTGCCGGCTGACTCATGCCCGCCTCGGTGCCTCTTGCTGTTTCTGCCTCGATATAAATATCTCATTCATTGCCGTAGTAACTGAGTAGCTTACGCCGCGCTCCCGGGGACCTGCTCATGGGTTTCATCCCTGTGTTTGCCTGGCGCGCTGGAAACTTGCGGTAGCAGCAGAGCTCCAGTGCGAGCTACCTGCTGACTGGTTTGCTTTTGAGTCCAAGCAGCACATGGCAAATGAAAACACAGTGAATGCAAACCGGGGTTTCTTACGCGTTCGCAAACAAAGGTTCAGTTTGCAATAATTTAATATTGTGGTAAGATGGTTTAAAGCTTGGAATGGTTGAAAACCTTTGCACTAGGTAATTCATAATTTTTTTTTCCATAAAAGAAAAGCAAAATATTTGTCTGGAATGCTCATTTAATTACATTTTCATCTAAGGCCAACCAAAACCATCGCTAGATAAATGATTACCCCATTTTCCAGTATTTGTATCCATTAAGTACTACTAGCAAATCAATAATGGATGTAGTATTGATTCATTTCCAGTAGGAATTGATATATTTGAACCCAATAATCTTCAGGTTACTGAAAACATTCAGTATCTCTTATGAAATACTGCAATATATGAAAAATGCTCCAAGGGTATTATCTTCTATCAGGGGATGCCTTGAAGAATCCTACCAGATAGGTGAAATGTTTTCAGAGACAAACTGCTGCAAGGTGCAACTAGTCCCTGCAAGGTGCAACTCGTCCCTACATGCAAGTTTCATTCAAAATATCCGTAGAGCCTCTCTGGTAAACTTGCAAAACACTTGGCTGTTTTGTTTTGTGTTGTTTTGTTCAGATGGAGCATGGTTTTGTAGATCTATGACCTGCAAACAACTCCCTGACGACTGAAAGTTGTAAAACGCAGCACAGTATAAATATAATTTAGGTTGGACTGAAGCATGGCGAGCTGACAGTGGTAAATGTGGTTGCATGTAACAGAGGGGGTTATCAGGAGGATGACTTAGAATATTTCAGCAGCTTGCTTCCCTAAAAATGATTTGAACTCTTGTACTATGGATTTGCTACATCTCTAAATCTCACCATCTGTGCTTGGGTTAGCATTGCCTGGCTGAGACCACTGATGTTCTGAAATAACTCTCCCCCAGCCGGAAGGGACTCTATTTTAGCAGTACTCTAACACAAACATTAGCAGCCGGTAAGTGAAGTTTGGTGACTTGGGCTGTAGATGGAAATTGCTTCCCACCCTGGAATGATTGACTTTTCAAGTGTGACTTAGTGACTTTCAGGATGTTGGTGTTGTTTTTGTAATGAAGGCAGTCTGCAACTGTGCTATTGTCATTAGAGTTTTTAGGGCATTAAATGGAAATCATTAAGGGTCCGGGTCATCTGTTCTTTAGTTTGTAAATGAACAGCAAAATACTTTGTAAGGGCACAGCTATAAATGCGTCAGGCACATTTCTAGCCAGCAACAATCATTGGAGAGCCAGTAGCTCTTGATGACAACTGTATGTTTGTCCTAAGGACAGTATTATAATACCGTTGCGTTTTGTGTTTTGAATTATACTTAGTGAATTTGTAGTTGGATGCATGCTAGGATTATACAGGAAAGAACTAAACTGCAACAGAGCTACTTCCTTAAAGGATTATTTTTGTTGTATTTGTTGGTAGTTTTCACATTGCCCTTGAAATGAGGTATAGCTTCTGTGTGGATTAGGATGTGACAGACTGTGTGAGGAACTGAGGACTCCAGTTCTCAGATCAGTTGAACAGCCCAGCTCGTATGTAGAAAAAAATGACAGCAGGGTTGGAGGAGTGAAAAGTTAAGTAAGCCTGAGCAAGTGTTGCTTTTTCACCCTCTCGAGCATGCAAGAATGGAGGAGGATTGCAATTTTTCTGTAGGACGTAATTTTTTAACAGTAACAGTCTTGGTCTCTGTAGCTGCTGTGGAAGCAATATTCCTATGTTGAATCTCCAAAATTCGACACCTCTTGCCCTTGCCTTGGAAGCTCACATAGTGCTCTGTATCATGCCTTTTTTTCTGATCCTTTACATCTGTCATACAAGCCTTTGTCTTGTCCTCTTAAAAAGTTTCTGGACTCATTTGCATCATGCTTCTGTAAATGGAAAACTCTCCTTCCTCTGATCTTGCCTTTCAACCTGAGTGTCCTGTTTTAGTCCCATGTGTCCCTGAAAACAGCCTTGTTTTGAGTAAACTGAATGATTGCATTATGGGCTTTTTTGAAGGGAAGATCAGTGACTTTGAAATGCATTTCTGGTCTGATATTCTTTTATATGAAGCCTAGGGTATTTATTCCATACAGGTTCTTATATTTCCCATGTCATTTCAGTATAAGACTGTCTCTCAGATTGTGTTAACTAAAGTGACTGCTTTTTTGATCTTTTTTTTTTTTTTTAATCTTTTCCCAGAAGAATTTTAGTTACTGTTTAAATAACGTGTCTGATTCTCTTCCCCTCCAGTCTCCTCTAGAGGAGCTGAGTTGATCATGCCAAAATTTTCATGAATTAGGCTTCACTGTTGCATATGGATGACTGTGGTGATGTGGAGTCTTCTTTTTGTATTGGTAGATGTTTTTTTCTTTCATTTTCGGTGTTGATTTGGGATTCTAGGTAAATAATAAACCTTTGTTGTATATTTAGCCTTGTTCTTTGATACACAGCATAGTGTCTGGATTTCCCTGGACCGTGCATCAGACTGTGATTCTTTCAAGATGGGTCTGTTCAGTTTTTCTTGAAGGGCTCCCATTCATGATGCAGACATTGTGGGGGAAGATTTTGCTTTTGGGTGAATGAGATCTTTCACACTTGTGTGAGGTCTGAGGGTTCCTAATGTTTTTTTTTTTGTTCGTTTGTTTTGAGCAATTGTTTTTGTCAAAGCCTCTGTTTGTGGTAGTGGGCAGAAGGGTAGCTGTGGGCTATTCAAATACTGCTCTTACCCTTTGCTGTAGCATCTTACGTTTCTGAAGCAGAGCACATTGCCTTTAGAGCTCCTTGGCATACAGCAGATAACGTAAATGTAGGATTACTGCTCTAAGGGAGGAAGAGATGAGTGTTGGCTCAAAGTCTCAACATCTGTTCCTATACAGATTGATACTTAAGTAGCGAAGTAGCAAAGACCAAATTAAATCTTTCTGGTAAAGGATTTCAAGTGTTTTGAAATACCTAAGAAGAGGCAGGGCTTACTGGAGTATAGTTTTCATGAAAGATGCTTCCTGTTTCCAAAGCTGAATGAGTTTCAGAAGCTAGAATTGCTAAAGATTAAAGAAAGACCACCTAGCCAATTTTCCACCAACTCTTTTTGCTTTGCAGCTTTTAGTTTGACAGATACTTTTCGTTGCCAAGCTACTTACAAAATAATCATGCCAGAGCATAGTTCTGGTTCTGTTTATCTTCACTAACTAGTTGTACTGCTGTTAATCTGAATTTCTTTCTAGGGAGGAGGGGCATTAGAAGTTACCCACAATAGAGATAGACAGATCAGTGTTTTTCTTTTGCACGCTCTGTTTTTTATTTTTTCTTAGTCTTGAGGCATCGTTTGCAGATAGTGCTTTGGTTTGCTAACTTGTTTTCCTGTGTTAATCTCAGGACATTCTAAATGTAGTTGGGAAGCCTCCTGAGATAAACCAATTCTGCTGGTACTTCTGTAGAGTTTTTCTCTTATACATTTTTACTGTTAAACCTGGTTTAATTATTTGTTCTGAAGATTAATGTAATTTCAAACTAACAGACTGCCTAGATCCTTTGGTGTACCAGGTAAGTAGCTGTTCTGTAGCCTCAACATTTTTGTGTGCCTTTCAGTTAAGTATCCAGTGTGATGGCTAAGTGTGAGGTACTACTTGTTCAGGAATGACTCCCTGAAGTTATTGATGAACTTGAATTATTGTTATTTAATACGTCAACCTGCTTGTACATTGGAAGAAGTTATCCAGGCTGTTCCTAATTGAAATTGCTAAAAGCATGTTAGTCTGAAGCTTCCTTCAAATCTTTTGTATGGCTTTTTCCTGCTCTCCATGTTGTCTCCTGAGGTTTTTTCTTTATTCCTTTGTCCCTTTTGACTGTTACTTGTTTCTTTTTATCTTAGTCTTTTCTACTGTTCTCATTCAGATGTTTGAAAAGTAACTAAACAAGTAGAATAAAACATGGAAGGTCCTTGGCCAGAAGTTGCCCTTGGATATGTATTTCTGTTTCATCAGTATTTATGCCTGGGTGAGAAGCCCAGGACACACAACCATCTGCTCTTCCAATTGCTGCAATAAATGTGGATTTTATTTCCTCTTTTGACCATATGTTTTCCACTGTTGTTGGAACAGTAAGGCATTTGAGGCAATTGTGGTCACTTTTGCTAGTGGAAGAATTTTGAGCATCACAAGAGCTGAGAATCTGAGAGGCAAGAAAATGCTCATCTGAGGATTTGGGGAAGAGAGACTCTTGTGAACTATTCCCTTAAACTGTAGTTATCTAAGTCTCCAAAGAACTCCTGCAAAATTTATATGAGGTTTTTTTGGGAGACTTTTGGGAAGAGGACTCATGGTGAGGAACTGTTGCTTTAATGTGAGAGTTCATATGTGAAGTGGGAGTGAGAATTTCCACTGCTGGCAACAGTCAGGCAGGTTGCTGTATTGGGGAGCATTTGGGCTGACTGCACAGTTCATATTTTAAAAAGAATGCCTACAATATCAAGACAAACATCTGGATCATACTTTAACGTCATTACGTAATTCCCTGTTATGTATGAGTTCATGACCTGTTGCAAACTTATAAAAAACAAAACAAAAACAACAACAAAAAATCCTATTCTTTCCTTACAGGCTTCATTTGTTATCCAGAGAAAACCCTGTGTGCCCGGTAAGAGCACTGAAGCACTGCAAGTCAACCCAATGGCGTCCTCTACTGCTGTGCCTGTAGGATTTCATTATGAAACAAAATATGTAGTTCTCAGCTACCTGGGACTTGTATCACAAGAGAAGCCACAGGAACATCTTCCTCCTCCAACTCAAGGTGATATACCATGTATACTTGTGTAATTGTTTTGGCAATCACTTATAGTCTTGTCCAGTTTGTGCACATGTGGTAGAATGTCAGCCACATGCTTAGTGTTTAGTCTTTATTATTCATTCAAAATAATGTGAAAGAATGCTTATGGAAACAAAGCTGTTTGCATTTAGATTGCTATTTTAATTTGAGCTGTGCCAGAGGTGATTGGTGTTCATGAAGCAAATAAGTGATTTTAAGTATCTGTCTTCAGGATGAATATTTATTATCTTTGTTGAGCCATCTTGAGAATCTGAGCTTGTGTTTATGTTTCTGCAGAGGCAAATGGAAATAAGCAGGGGTGAAGTGGTGTTTACCAGCATAAGCCCTGAATGATGACCTAAGCAATGCCCCGTACTAAATATTTTTGCCATATTATGTTAACACTTCTGTTGTTGTCAGTCAGTGGTAGCGTGGAGATGTGAGACTTAATTTGGCCTATGCTGCATTTATTTGTTTATTTTTAAGAAGCCAAGGATTGCTTGGAGTCAAGTATTTCTTCCCAAACAGGATTATGCATTTAGTAAATTGGGCATAACAAAAGGAGTTTAGTAGATTGTTTCATATTCCAGGGAGTAATAAAAACTACCTTAATGTTGTGGTAGCAAGCACTTAAAACAAGGAATGTATTTGTCAAGATTATGATGATGGCTTGTCAATTCTTGATGATGTTTCAGTCACTTACTTATTCTGATAAAAGTCATATTTTTAAAAAGGCCACTTTTTGGATTTTTTTTCCCTTGGATGAACATTTAAGAATGCATATCCTGTCATTTACTCCACTTATCTGTCATCAGAAGAAATGACAGATTTCAAAAATAAAATTATTTCTGCCATATCTTTGATGATATAATTTTATCAATTTGGATCAAAGATATGGCAGAAATAATTTTATCAATTTGACACTAAAATATGCAACATATGATGATTATATCACATAGCACTTAAAAATTAAACATTGTATGTTTAAGATCTGTCTATTCTTCTTTGGCTACATCTGTGGTCTGTGAAGGGAGATGTACCTTCGTGCCAAGATACCGTTTCCTAAAACTCTTTGTTGGAAGATGTGGTTATTTTAGGAATAACATCTCATTCTGGATATCCACTTGGGATAACGGGACTATATTTGAGAATATATGAAGTGCATACAAACCTACCATGTGGAAGAGTCTATTTCATCCGGAAAATGAAGGACTCAGAAGGGGAACTTAGTCCTAAAGCTTTCCTTTTATCATTTGGATATAGCTACCTACGAAATATTAGAAAATTGAGAGGATGCTTCTCAATTGTGTCTCAGTTCAGAAACCTGTAAAAAATATTTGAATTTAAGAACATTATTAAAACTGTATAAAGAGAAGGTGCTGCTACAGATGTTCGCATACACATTTTATAATTAATTGAGAGAGCTTTTGAGATCTTGGTTAAAGAGATGTGTTGAATCTTCTACTCGCACTATATCACATATCCAATATTTAGATATGCTAGCTTATGTTACAGTGGGGTGGACTTGGACTTGTTATTAAAAATACTCTTGGACATTGACACTTTCATCCCTTTTGCTCTAAACCTTCCATCCTAAACAGAAATGCACTTCCTTCCAGCACTTCCTTCACCAACATGAACACAAAGTGGACACAGCTTTTTCTCCCTTGGTCATCTCTCACTGTGATTAGATCTCTCTTTCAGTGTTTTTACTACTTTTTGATCAAAACTGGAAAAAAAATCAAGTGAAAACATTTTATCCTTTTTTAAGGCACTATGTAAATTTGTTTTTCTTTCTTCACTTTTGCTTTGCTTTCCTGTTTTCCATCTTTGCAGAAGTTTTTTGTTGGTCCAATAGTTTTTCCATTTTTCATAAAATCTTTTCTACTTCATTTCTTGTTGCTTGCGCAGTTTCAGCTACGCTCTTGGGCTATCTGTGGTTAAGTGTCATGTGTTTAATGTAAAGTGCTGGATGCATTTTCACTGAATATAAAGTAATGTACAGTGTGTACCTTCTTGTTGCTTAGATCTTGCCGAAAAGTGCAGTAAAGCACTCTGCTTTTTAAGCTTCTCGCCTAAGGAGACCAGGAGAGAACAGGCAGCCCGTAAATGTTATTAGCTGCCCTGCCTAATGCACTAGTGGGAGTTAAGTGGGTATTACAGTAACAAGTGCAGTATTGGAAATTTCTGAAGAACAAGAGAGAAGTGCAAGCCTGTAAATGAAAATGAATAATTGTTTAGACTGCCATCATGAATTAAGAACTTCTTTTTTTTCATAAGGAAAATATTTGCAGGAAAATAATGATGAAACATTACAGCATGTTTGTCAGTGTGTCTTTTCATGCTGTATTATCACCAAGCCATTGTCGTAGTATCGTGGCAGATTCTGAGGTACTTTGATTGTTTTTGTGGTGTTTAAAACCTTGCATGCTGGTGTATTGCTAAATGGGTATTTGATTGTATTTTAATTACAAAACAGTTTTTAGTGCTTTTCATTCTTACGAGGTACTGCCTCTTCGCTATATAATAATCTCTTTCATATGCTTTTCTTGGGTCCAGATGAGTCTTTACTCTGTGCCCAATTTGTACTTTATGCTGCAGTATAAAGGGAGTATCCAGAAATGCTGACTTTAGGCCTCATTATGCTTTTCTTTTTAGTCTCCATCTGTATTGAGGAGTGCACGGCTCTCGTACAGGGTAGTTCAGAGCAAGATCCTCATTATAGACACCTTGAATTATGCTCTGGAGAACCTTTTCTTGCTTTCCCTTGCATATATAAAGTACAGAGAAGTTAGATACACTAGGTGTAGATGGCATTTGTATACTTCCCATGAGACTCCTTCTACAGCAGGCCTCTAGATTTCACTGACCAATACCAAAGAAGATTCAGTGAAGCTTCAACATCCTGGATAAAGGAAAAGGTATTAAATGGCTCAAAACAACCAAAAAGAAAAGCAGTCTTTCCTAAGAGTAGTGCTGCCACTTTAGCTCTTGAGGAACTTGCAGAAGAAAATGGAATGTTTTTGTTCATTTGCCTCTGTTTCTCAGCTCTGGTGATCTCTCCCAAAGCTGTGCTTTCTTGCATTTGACATTGGAGAGGTCTGCTCCTGACATGTCTTCCTGTTCCAAAAGCTCAGTTAAGAGTAAAATCTTTTAAGATACTTGTTTCACATAAAAACTTGTATTTACTTTTTGCAGATTAAATATTCTTCAATAGAGTGATGACTTCCAGACAGAATTAATTTAGTCAAGAGAAAGCTTGGACAAATTACAAAGAATTACCGCACTGTGATTTCTTTAGGGATCTCTTGGTCTCTTGATTTGTTGCAAGAAATGTGGCTTTACTTCCTCCAGCTAAAAACTGTTCTGACTTTAGGCAAAGAAGGCCAATCTATAAGTCAACACCTGCTGTTCCTGTGAAAGTTTTATTTAGAGAACTGCTCTTCAGGAATTGAAGAGAGATCTGTCTGCAGAAAAAGTTATTTTATCGGAAAAGAAAAAGATTTGTAGAATTTTGTGATTGGACTCAGTATTTCTAGAGGAAAAGCCAGCAAATTTAGAAACAATATTAGAGATTACTTCTATTCGAGACACAGTTCTGGAAAAATAATGATTCTGCATAACTGCAGGCAAGAGTCTGTTAGCAGAAAACACCACTACTTTTTGGTAGAATTTGAGATAGGTGAATGATAAAAGTCGCTCAGAGAAATCTGATACAGAAGACAGAGTAAGATATCATCTGTGTAAATTTATACAACCTAGAGCAACGAATGAGTGCAATTACTTAAAATGTGGAAGGAAGTTTGCAGTGAAATAATTATCAAATATTGAAAATATTGTGATAATAAATATCAAGTATTGAAATATGTTTCTGTAGTTTCTTCTTCTGAAATTCACACTCATTATGGAGGTTTCCTGTCTACTGCAGCTGCTTGTCCTACTTGCTATTTTTCACAAGTGTCCAAATAGTTTGGTTCAATACACCTGTTATAACTGCTTCTCGAAATTTGATTAAAGGGTTTGTTTATTAGTATATTTCCGTGTTTTTTTTTCTTTTGTGTGTGTGTGTGTGTGCTTGTTTAATCAATTTCTCCATGGTTTGGTTCCAACTAGTAAGCCTGTAGTTACAACTGTGGTTTTAAGGAAAGCTGTTTTTCTGTTTTCCTAGACAGACTCCCACACAGAGTTCTAAGAAGCCTTATATCTCACAGTAGCATCCACAAGATTTACAATCAATGTCACTATTAAGCATGGCACAGATTGCACAAGAGGTCAACAAAACTTTGACAGCTTTACAGTTTCCCTGAGATACACGTTATCTAGTTGTAAGCCAATTACTGTGCACATTTTCCTTTTGACCATAAATTATCAGTTAGAGATTGCTGTTTGAAGTACTGTGCATATTCAGTAATCAAGCTATTACAGTGGTGGTGGTTTCCCAGACATATTTGTTATTGCTAAGTGGTGTTGACCTGGGATATTAGATATGGATTTTACATATATTTGTTCACATGTGCCAGTTAGAGAGCTCTGATACATATAATATCTCTATCTTACTTATGTTTCATAGTACCTGTTATTGTCCTGGGGGAAATGGACGAGTTTGTATTTTTTTTTAGCTAAGTAACTTATTCTTTAAAAACTTTCCCTTTGCAGAAAATATACACAGTTTTGCTGAAAAATTACAATCTGAAAAGCTACAAATGATATGTCATACCCATCCAGTTGCTAGAGGTAATAGGGAAGCTCTTTCTTGAACTCAGGAGAAGACATGTAATTCTTGGGGTTGTGACTTGGAGAGGGAAGAGGGGGTACCTCCAAAGATGTAAATTCCCACTGACTTAAGCCTCCTCTCTGCCCACAAAAGGAAGGACTTATATAGTTTGCAATTTCCTGTGTCTCTTTGGTTGTTAACTAGGGTTTTTAACTGTGCGGATATTATTACAGAGACTTGAAATTTGAAAGCAGATATACTGATAAGTTAAAATAATAGATATGAAACAAAAAATTCCCAATCTGTGACATCAAAGACCACCTTTTATTTTTCAGTGACCCTACATTCAACTGAAATAAAAAGGCATGCAACTTTTTTTCACTCTCTTTTTATAGTTGCTCTTGTCAATTTGACGCAAATACAACAGAATCAGATGTGCTGGTTCTGTAATTCTGAGGAATGACTTCCATCCCTCCATTATTCCCTGAGTCAAACTTGGAAATAGGCTAGTTTTATATTGTTACCAGACTTCTGCAATGGACTTAATGGCATACTTCAGTGAAACTATCACATTGGGTCACCAGTCATTGCACTGTCGTTTTCCCTCTGCTTGGCATGTTACCTCTGTATACCTGAAAAATGAACTATTAACAAGAAAACACTTGGGCAAAAAGGTAACATTTATTCCTTAAAGAGAAAGTGGAATGTACTTTTTTTTGTGTGTGTAAGAATTTTGTTATAAAAGTTTGTTGTGTCTTTGTGTTGGCAAGAAGCCTTTCAGGGTCAGTGTACCAAAGATCTGTTTTTTTGTTTGTTTTGTTTTGGTTTTGTTTTCCAGCCTACAAAACATTTCTTCTTCGTGAGTCTTTTAAGTACCATTTATGAGGTGAATATTTGGCACTGATGGAGAATGAAAATATGATGTTCTTGCTCTACCAGAAGCTGTTTTTACTGTCTTATCCTAATTATTTTCAAACTGACGTGGAAGCTCTCTAAAGGAGGAAAAGGATAACTGCTGTTCTAAGAAATTTGATATTAGCATGTGTTATTCTCCCATACTGGGTGCATTGTTGTGGCTAATGGACAACATACAGAAGATGCAGAAAGCTGAAGCCCTGTGACAGGGGAATAAACCGTGCAAAGTCACTGAGCCAGGAGGGGTAGGTTTCTGATGTTTTGGCGTGACTGGACGGTCAGGTGCTGTTGGAATCAGCAGCTGCTGCAAAGCTCTAGGTGTTAGGGGATGGAAACCATTGCCTCTGCAGCGCTGGTTATCTAAACGGCTCTTTTATGCGCTGGTTGCAATGGAATTTCGCTTCGTTCCCTTTTCCACATGACCTCTCATCAAGTATGACAGCTTGTCATGTGTGATCACCATCACATCGGTCCCGTGAGAACGGGTGCTTTTCTGAACACTCTCTTTCCTTCCATATGCGGGGTGAAACCTAGGTTAAAACAAGATTTTGTGTTTGCATGTACCCGCTGGGCTTGGCTGCAAAGCAGTGATTCAGCCATTCAGAGACCTTGAGGGCACTGACAAGGTATTAGTGAGTGTCTCTTTATTAACCAAAAGAAGGAACAGTTTGCTCCTGTCTGGAATTTATGGTTCAGAGTGACAAAGTAAGACTGTTTGTTTGAGAAAAGGGATTTCAGAAGTTAAATAAAGTTATTCTGAATTAGGTAATGGCGGTACAATTGTGTGATTAAGTAATGTGAAACTAAACTGACCATCTCTTGGCCCTTCAAAACTATTGAAGTAAACAAGTATAAACATTTTACATAGGACAATGTATCTGTTTCACATGAATTTGTCTCACAGGTATCCATAAGGAAGCTGCACAATTAAGTATAAACAAATGTCTGGTAGGTTGATTTTGAAGATTTTAGCTTGTGTTCCAAGTGTGTATGACATGACAAGCTTACTCAGTGTTCTTAAATACAGAAATTGCACTCTATTGTGGGTACGGTATGAGATATCTGTGTGTGTTAGCTGATTTTGATGCTTTCAATGGTTTTCACACACTCCAGTCTGAAAACTAGTGTTTATAGTGTGTCTGTTATGGAGAAAAGGGGAGGGTGGTGCAATAATTAAAGTGAATTCAAGCAGATTTAACTAGAGATGAACCAAAACATTTGTTCATAACTGCCAAATTATGATTTCGTGCCTTTAAAACAGGAATGAAAAAAGTTATGCCAAAAAGCATGCAGTAAGGTCAGACAATGTTAACATTACTGATAAAAATCCCTTCCCTTTTCATTTCCTTCAACTGATTGAGGATGTTTTGTACATCAAAATAGTGCCCAGGTGTCCAGGAAGACCTGCCAGCAATTAGGGTGGGTGCAGAAAGGAGAAAGAGAGATTTGAGAGCTATAGGCAATTCCTATAACAGGCGCTGTTATAGGAAAATGAGACAGAAGAAGGCTTCTAAACCATGTGTGTTGGAGAACATGAAGTTCCCCAAAATAATTCTAAGGAATATTGAAAGGTAAGAGATCCAGGAAAATGCATGTGGGGAAATATAATCATGGATACTGTTAAAAGCAACAGAGTGTGAGGCTCATGAGGCCCGATGACTTAAAACTTTCTTTCCTGACACTCAGGGAAAGGAGTGGACGGAACGGAGAATCTGCTTTGAAGTCAGCTTTATTTGTTTATATATTTATTTAATTTGCAAGTTAATACAAGTCAACTTTTATATACACGTGGGTGTCATATTCATTATATCTCTGAACAGGACTGTTTTGGAAGATTGAAACAAAAGGAGAAATTCAGAATTAGGCTTTTGATTCAGTAACGTGTGGTGATAATGGAACAATTTCTGTATTGTTCCTTAAGAACAGGGGGATTTCATACTTGAAAGCTGATAAAGGGAGAAAACTGAGGAAACATTAAAGATGAGCAAAAAATAAAAGGAAAAAGCAGCTAAATAGCAAGAGTTCTGAACTGGCTTGTATGTCGTACACATCTCTTCTTTGTACCTGTTGCAGAAAGTTATTTGAGTAGTTTTTTATCATACTGTCTTTTATTAGAAAGATTGAAATTCAGTAGCGTTTTCTCAGATTTGTGTGTTTCATAGAATCACAGAAAGGTTGAAGCTGGAAGGAGCCTTTAGAGATCACTTAGTCCAAGCCCTCTGCTCAAGCAGGGTCACCTAGAGCATGTTGCCCAGGGCTTTGTCCAGGCAGCTTTGAAATAGCTCCAGGGAAGCCTCTCTGGGCAACCTGTGCCAGAGCTCTCTTACGCTTATAATATATTTTTTTTTTTCCTTAAATTCAGAGAAAACGTCATGTATTTCAGTTCTGTTTGTGCCTGTTGTGTCTCATCTTGTCCCCTCCCCTATATTAAAATTGAATATTGTGAACTGTAAAGAGATCTGCTTGGGTCTGGTATATGTTGATAGTGAGTGTATTAATTTTAATTATTGCCTGTTTATGTGCTTTGGTTTGATTTTGATTTGAACAAATTCAAAAGCTTTTATGTTTTTGGATTAATGTAATAGAACTTGTAATAAATGCGGTCAAGAAAATGCTGTGTGAAGTCTGAAATATAATTTCCACTTTGAATTTCATTACAGTTCAAATCATATTCCATTATCTATTTAATGTGAAATAGTCCATTTGAGTAATTCTTTTTTTTTTTTTTTTTTTAGGAACTCAACAACAGCTTGCAGCACAACATGCTCTGGAGAAAGAGGCTTTGGAGAAGATTAAAATAGAAATTGAGGAGGAGCTAAAACATCTTGATGAAGAAATCTTGGAAGGTGCAGGCTCTTCAGATTTTCTCATTTCAGTTCACAAACTCTGTACGATATAACAGTGGTTATTTTGTAACAGGTACTCAGAGATTTTTGGCTGCACTGAATATCTCTCTTCCTCCCTTCTTCTCCCAGTGCTTTACCCTTTGTCACATAAAGTAAAATAGTTAAACTTTACCATTTAGAGCAATGGAGTCTAGCCAAAGCAAACAATTAAATGGCAATTAATAGGCCAGTAAAATAATGAAATGGAAGCAATCCTTAAGCTGCTGTAGTTGATAACAGAAGTAAATTTTTTCCTCGGCAACTAACATCCATGGGAGAATGGACTTAAACTGTCCAATGTTTCAGTTCATTGCTTTTTTTCCTTCCTTGTGACATGCTTTGACCTGTGAATGTGACTTCTGCAGGACTTCCAGCAAGCGATAATTTGGAAAAGATCTTTGATTTGCATGTGCATTGTAAACAGGGAAGCCAGAGTAGAAGAGCTCTAGATTTATTTTCTTTTTCACGGACCTGTTACTGCTTTAATGGACCATGGACCAGAATATTGCTTTAAGAACGGATTATCTGGTACTGCTGCAGAGAATTCGCTGTGCCGGAAATATTACCATGGGGAGGAAGCTCTCTTGATTCTCTTTCAGACTTGGCATTAGCTTAAAGTTCAGAATATTTTCACCTTCAGTGAATTTGCTATTTAGCATATGATCGTGAAAGAAGACCTAGACGGGGAATGTAGTTGTTCTGTGTCTCGGAAGTACCACTTCCAGAGCAATTTTAGCCTAAACATGTTTTGATGGAATATGTTGATAGCATGTTTTGACAATGAAGTTGTGATTTCTTCCTCGCTGATTCAAGTTGTGCTTAACTAGTCGTATAAGAAATCTGAGACTGATGGTGTACTTACATGTATCTATATATCTTTTTTCTCTCAGCTTTTACTAGTACAGGATTTGACTGCCACACTTCTCCAGTATTCAGTCCTGCCAATCCAGAGAGCTCAATAGAAGATTGCCTGGCTCATCTAGGGGAGAAAGTGTCCCAGGAATTGAAGGAACATCTGCACAAAGCACTACAGAGCATGCTTAGCAAGTGAGTTTCCCTTTCTGCGTTCAAAAGGAAGTCATTTTCATTTGCATTGTAGCTACTGCTGACATGCTGAAGATAGGACTGCATTTTTGCATTGCATTTCTGCCTCTTTTTGTTTTGTTTTGTAAAGTCTGATTACTTCTTTGTAGTATTTGCTCTTTGAAATGCTGGAAGTTTTTTGTTTTTTTTTTGTAATCTTTTATCACTGAACTTCTGAGATTAATTCAAATACTTTGACTTTCTGCTGAAACTATCAGCTGCACGGTGCCACTTGCTATTGACACTATCATGGATGATGGGCTGTAGCCAAATGATCAACTTCTACTTTATAGAGAAAGTGGGGCTGGGGGTTTGTTTGTAGTTGTGCCCAGAATGAGAGGAGGAATTGCCTGAAGGTAGTTTGATGCTGTTATGACCAGCATCCAGGACACACATTTGAAGCAAGTGTGGACACTTGGCTAAGCTGAGTGCATTAGAAAGCGTCCCTTCGTTTTAGGCTTATTACTTAAATAGAAAATAGTACTGGGCATCCCAGTATATTGATTAATGTGATTTTTCTTTTTCTAATATGAATTACTAGCCTGATTTCTAAGGGAGCCGCATGAATGACTATCTCCATTGAAAATCAGACTAGTATGCTGAATGACCTCCAGAATGTGTTTGTAGAGAGCCGGGGTTGGAAGGTGCTAGTCAGGGATCGTTACATAAATGCAGATGTGAAGGCAGCTTTAGAAGGTGGCTGTCTGAACTATATACGTTTTGTGGATTGGTTTAACTGACTTGTCTCTAAAGGAGCTGTGAATCTGTAGTACTCCTCTTTCAGATTTGCATAGCTGTTCATGAAATACTTAAATAGCAAGATGCTATAAGCTGAGATACCAGTACCTACTTTAAACTTTCTATTTTGAGGTTTAAGGAGTATCATTGTGCCTTTATGAAGGTTCCCTCTGGCAGATCTTTGAGAGGTTGTAAATGTGAAAGTTATTACTTAACTAGCCTGTTTTCTTATAGTAGCCAGCAAAGATTGTTGACTTTTTATGACCAATTTTCAGAAGCATACATATAACGTATGCTTCTCCATGTAGTTTTCTAGGGTCAAAAAAAGAAAGTTAAATCTTGTGTAAACTAAAAATTATTTAGCCACAGAAATCAGTGCATGTGCTGTGTATTTCTCCTTAAGCTACTAGTCTTAACTAGCTACTAGTTAAGTATTGCTGGTACTCCTCCAGAATTCGCAGCTTATCTGTCTTTACAGGTTAGGTATTTGCCCATGTGACCTTAAAAACTTGCAGTTAGTAACTTCTAAAGAATGGTTATTTTGAACAATATCTCACTGTCCATTTAAAAAAAAGCACACCGGCAACAGGTTGGAAAGTTAGCAGAAAGATTTTGCAGCTCATCCTTTTTGTGTATCCAAATTCATAAATTTAAGTAACAGTATTGTGCAAATAAAAAGTTTTAAATAAAAGTTTAAACATCTTTTACAGTGTAGGTAAGGAAATACTAGCTGTCCATCCAGTAGTGTTTGATCTTGCCTGGTACATCTTAGATTGTTTCTTTTTTGGAGACATCTTTATGTGAGGACTATAAAAATTACATTAGTGTAGACCCGAGTAATTTAATAAATACCTCTTAATAGCTTCATATTCTAGTTTTTCTGCCTGTCTTACAGGGAATTCTTCCATTGTAAGTATATTTTTAAACATCTATATCCATATCTATAGATAGATAGATAGGCATTTCAGTACTATGCAGGAGATATAAGTATGGTTCCCACTGCTGTTACCTTGCTATCTAGGTCTTTATTCACTAAAAACAAGATTTCAGACTCCAGGAAGCCCTAAGGCTGATAGGTGAATGTAATTAGACGTTCATATAAATAAGTCTAAAATGCCTGTGAAAATGTGGATGGCGTACATGCTTTTCTGTAAGGTGAACTAGAGCTGCTGTTTAATCTCTTAATATCCTTCCTGCAGCTGTTGTTGCTTTTCTCATCCTGCTGATTCATTTGGATGTCAGTTTAAAAAGAACTAATGTACCAAGGAAGTTAAGAGAATGCACTTAAAATAACAAGCCCGAATTATGCTTTCCACAGTGACCTCCAAGTCTGATCTTTTACGCATGTTTGCTATAGTAGGATTACTTGACAAAATTATTTCTTATTCTTACTCTTCTCTGCTATACATATAAACAAACCTATTTGTGTTAGTGCCTAATAGGAGGCTAAATCATGACAGGTTCCCAAACTTCAGGAAGGGTTTCTTGTTTTTCCTGAAGGCTGACAGTGCCTTCTACTTTCTCCCTGAAGTAGAGCTTGCCTTCTGCCATGGTCTGGCTTCAGGGAAGCTGCTCTTGCAGCAGCAAGTTTTGTGTTGTCCCTCAGCAGGACCTTTATTGTCGCTAACTCTGAGGTACTATTTGATCCTGGAGAGAGATTATGAAGAAGGAGTTGGATTATGGAAGGATTATGGAAGAGAGGAGTTTCCGCATTCCAGTTAAGAGAAGGAGGGACGTGGTAATTCTAAAATGAGAAGTCTTGTGTGAGATATCTTCCAAAGTATAAATATTTTTTTTGATTAAAAGTACTGTGTTTTGCAACTGCAAGTTTCAACCCTAATATAATGTTAACATATCAAGCAGCCTGTGTTGGTTCACAGTCTGTACAATTTATAAAACTTTTACTCTGCTTTCACCTCTCTCACATGTGAATTGGCTATTTTTTTTTCATTTTCTAAATTGTAGATCATAAAAAAAAGATATTGTGCAAGAGCATAGTGATTTCGATAGCACATCAGAGAACCTACTTATCTAATGTCCTTTAAGTTGTAGACTGTCAAATTATTATGAAATACATCTAATCAACTTTGCAATATTATACCACTGGGAGAAGATGGTGCCTTACTTTCTGCACTGAAATGTGAGACTTGTTAGTTCTTGAATTTTTTTTGTAATGCATGGAAAAATACTTTGTTCTCTAGATAAACTGAGGATTTTATTTTATTCTTTTGTTTCCTTTTATAACTTTCAGTGTTGGTTTAACTTCTGCAGGCCAGTGACATACCAAGAGTATCGAGAGCGCACACAGGAGGCAGCTGCTCACGCCACTGGATGGAACAAGGTACCAGCCCCCTTTTCTTTCTCATCTATTTGATGTCCATGATAGTGTTTGCTAGGTGCAGACAGGTGTAGCAGAGGACCATGAATAAAAAGAACACACTTTCTTTTCTGAATGCAATGTTTCCCTCTCAGAATGGTGCTATTAATTTATTATGTAGTTTGTAGATAATTTAAGCAGAGGTTATTCAGTAGTATTAAATTTCCAGGAGGGATTTACAGTGTTAGCAACACTCTACCGAAATCTGTGAGGGATGGTTTCATAATATTTCTCAACCATTTCTTGTTTCCTATATGTCATTTGAAATATATGTAAAACAATGCTAAAAGTGGTGAAAATAAAAATTAACAGTATCTTCAGAATATATAAATTGTTCAGAAAACATAAGATTATATGTATATCTGGTTTCAGGAGAAGCTATCTCAAATGATGTGCAGCTTCTTTTTAAAATCATATGCAAATCTAAATGGACTCTCCATTTAGACTTGCATATGATTTTAAAAAGAAGGTCTCCATTTAGATTCTCCATTTAGACTTGTTAGTTTTAATGCAAAGTAAAATTACTGTCCTCAGATACATATTTCATTCATCATTCTTATTCATCCTTCATTATCCTAATCATTCTATGAGAGGTTCAGGGGATACCAGAAAAGAGAAGAACAAAGCACTTATTTGCAAATGTAATTGCAAATTGACTGCTAGAGTTTAGTCGTAACAGTGCATTGGAACAAGAAATCTTCCTTTTTTTCATGCTTTTAAAATATATGTATTTTTTCAGAATCACTTCATTTCCTTAACTAGATTTTTCTATTTAGTTCAGATACTGATCGTTTCTCGCATTAACCACTAACCAAGGGCGGGGGCATTTTGAAGTAGTTTGTTAACATTGCTTGACAAGTTACTGCCCATGACCCAGGCAACTATAATTGATGTGTATGTGCTTTCAGTTGATCCTATTTGAATCACAGCGCTTGTGCTTCAGTTGGTAAAAACTAAAAGCAAGCATAAAATTAGCCATTGTGGCTCAGCTTCAAGAAAGAAGGTGGCTGCAGCGTAGTTGCCTACTGTGTCTCCATGCCATCTCGGATCAGATGCCTTGCTTCTATAGTACTGAATGAATTGATCTTCCACCCTTGCAATTTTATGATTCAGCCCTCATTTCTGCTACTTTCGTGGAGCCTCTGTGGCCAGCAGGTTTTGTGATCCTCATTGGCTTCAGATTGAGAGCATCAACCAGGAGATAACTTTGTTATCTTTGCTTATGCAGAACATTTATTGCTTCAAAACTTACAGTCCACAAGCGAACTAGAGTGGAAAATTTTTAGACTAATACAATATCTTTGATATTGTTTTTGATTAGGAATGCTCAGTAGTTCCTTTAATAATACTTGTTTTGAGGAGATGGAATATATTTGGATTCATTTCATTTCCTTTTAAATTCTCTTCTTGTCTTAATCAGAATCATCTTTCGTAATAGAAGAGATCTAGATATCCTTCCTCCAACCTTACTCTATCTTAGCTTCTACTCTAGAGTGAAAATTGTTAAAAAGATAATTTGGAAATGTAGTTATAAATAGACTTACTTAGGTGTAGGTCTAATTAACAGGTCTACAGGAGAAGAATGAGGCTATGCAGGCCTCAGTTTATGAAAGCCTGTAAAGTGTATATAGGTTAGCTCTTATCAGGAAACTTGTCCACTTTTGTACAATTAACTGATGTATTTCTGTAAAAATAGAAGCCATGGATCGTTAAGTTATATGTTCTTCTTTTTTCCTGTAGCTAACACTGTTGTAGTGTTAGTGTAGAAGATATGCCCAGGCCATGACTGCTTTAAGAGAGAAGGACAAATAAATTAATAAGGATAAGTAATTAATTGATAATGAATAAACATGGTTTCCATATGAAAAATATTTAATAGTAAAGTTTATTATCAGTAAAATCTGAGGGAAAGCAAGAAACACAGTACTCCCGTTAGAGAGCTGTCTGCAGATACTTTCCCCAATACTACCAGAGATTTTTCATAGAGATAAGTCTCCTGTTGAGCTTGTTTTTGTCAATTTGCACAAAAAGAATGTTCATCCCTCTAATAGAAAGTCCTGTGGCTGAACTGAAGTAAATGTCTTCGGCCCTTTTATGCCTAACCAATAATAAACAATTTACGTGATCAGAAAGCTTGTGATAGTAAGGTAGTATTTTGTTTAATGGTTCCCTACAAACTTTCTCCAACCAAGTATTTTCTGGCCACTCTGCTTGTTTTTGTACAAGTTTTTTCTTAGATCAAAATCTAAATAAGCCTTAGCATTCCTTCCTGTGCTCACTGGTGGAGAAAATTACAGTTGCTTTAAGACCATAATTTTACTTTGGTCTCGTTAAAATCTCATTGACACTCATCTAGCTACCCTTATATACAAAAGGGCTATGGTTAACCTTTATCAAAGTACTATAAACTTAATTTCTTTTACTGATTTATGGTAGTATTGTGCAAAGCCACTCCTGCTGCTACAGATCTCAAAAGCAGACAACATTCCAGGGATTTCAGTGAAAAAGCAAAACCAGACTCTGTGTATTGGTGTGCTTGGGACTGAAGATTAGGGCCTGAATTTGGTCTCTTGCCCCTAAGGCCTGCCAGAGGCTGGTTAAATTTGGGAGGAGAGGATGGATTAGATGTTTAAATTGGCAAAGGAAGAAAGCAACCATCATGTTCAGTGTGCCAACATTTGATCTCCCTTAATTTCCTAAGCAGTCTTGTTTTGCCTTTGTTTCTCTTTGCTTTAGCTTCAAGTAGATGTTAAATCTTTTGAGATCTGACTGTTTTTGCCATCCCAGAGTTATGTGGGTGTGCCCAGAGCCTCTGAAAGACATCTAGCGTTGACAACATGATGTTTTTTTTTCTCTAATCCAAAAAGATTTAAGTTTCTTCTGACACTTAAGCTCTCCTTGACCTGCTCTGTGCAATCCTCCGTGTAACTGTAAGCTTGCATCTTTTCTGTCTCTGGTTTGAGATTATTTACAAAAAAAACCCCAAATCCAAAGCTATTAAAATTCAAATGCTGTCTCATTCCTAGTTAAATGAATGAAGTGTTAACTTCTTTTTCTAGAAGTAATATAATATATCCTTTGTAGTGTTGCACTCTCTCAGTTGTTAATTATCTCAAATATCTTAAGTTTATCACATCACAAGCATTTTTAAGATCCCATCTATTTTAGTGTCCATCTGAATGTAACTGTACTGTAGATTTAGAACAAGTCTCAAACCCAGCCTGCTTTTGCTATGCTCTTTCCTCCATCCTTTGCATGCTAAGATACAACGTCTGGGAACAGTAATGAGAGGAGACTTACAGAAAAGAAAATCAGGCTAAAGGAGGAGGAGGCGATTGGGATGTCAGCCTTCTGGTGGGAAAGGAAGCAGGCATTTGAGGTTCCATCTAAGCAGTGGTATTTACCTGGGGCAACATTCTCCCTTGTGCAGTGCTGCAATGGCCTGCTGCCACCTTTATAGAGAATAGATGTGTGATGCAGTTCTCACAAACTAGGCACAGTAAAACTTTAAAGTACTTTTCTCTTGTGTCATAAAAGGGCTTTTTCAGATGTTAATGACTTTGAATTCATAACAATTTTTTTCTGGACTTGGTAAGCACTGCATATAAACTTGTCCTGAGGGCTGCTTGGATGCTCTAGGAGAATAAGTTTAAAGTGTAAAACTTCAACTGCCTGTTGTTTAGGCAATGAAAAATGAAACTTCAGAATGGAGTGTCTGGAAGAGGTGTATAATGTGAACGAGCTGGATTCACAGGGTACTACATTTTCCAGAGTAATTCACATTTGGATAGGGCTGAGCATTAATTTGAATCATAAAAGGTTTGGAGGGAGGAATGAGAGTTGGAGGTGAGGGAGGAAATTCTGTATGTGTTAAATTTGGTTTAGGTGAGAGGATTTAACATGGAGAGGGTTGTGTATGTCACTTTAAATATGCCCGTAATGTTTTGATGCTGTGGAAAGTTGTTTGCTTCTGTCCTGTCTGAATAGAGAGAGTGAACTTCTAAAGACACTTTCTGATGCAGTACATGTATTCAAGAAAAATTGAGTTTGCTGTTTAAATGCATTTTGGATGTTTATCCGTTCAAACTATTGATGATGATGTATTTCAGGACTTCTGGAGTTGCAAGTTCTGCTTCTGGATCTGTTCTGCTTCTTTACCTGAATCGTGCGCTGGGGAAAAAAGGGGCTCAAGAAACCACTGCAGTTCTGTTTTCTGACAATCTTAAGTTACCCTGTAGTATTCTGCTTGCAAGATTAAAAGCTTTTTTGCTATTGTCCTGTATTTTATATCTAGCTTGTGTCTTCACAAGATGCTTGTGGAGATACTGCTGTAACTTTTCTCTAGACTGCATGAATTCTTCCATTTCACCTGCACAGCAGAATTTATGATGCTTTCTGTATTCATCCTTAGTTCTTGTCTTTTGCAGGTCTTGGTGCCTTTAGTTCTGCTACAGCAATTTCTGATGGAGTTGACCAGAAGGGGCCAGGAACCACTGAGTGCACTTGTGAACTTCGGGGTGACATATCTAGAAGACTATTCTGCAGACTATATCATTCAGCAAGGAGGATGGGTAAGAAGACAGTGTTCAATTTCCATATTCTGTTCAAAGCTTATTTTTAACTGTGTGGTCCTACTCTTGGTAGCTGTGAAAGAGAGATTTCTAGGAGTAAGCATGTGAAAGAAGGGATGTATTTGCCTCAGAAAAAGAACAGAGACTCATCTTTTTAATGCTGTCCTCATGCTCTAGTGAAGTGTTACATTATTTTTTCCTCTTAAATTCAGCCTTTTAGTAGGTATTTGGCCGTTTTAATTTAACAAGTGATAAGATAGATAATGTGTAGTGGATTTTACAGTGCTATGGGAGCATGCATAGGATATAATGAACAATCAAGATGCGTTTGTATTGTGTTTCCGTGTGGAAATCTTAAATTCGTGATGAGCTATGCTCCTGAGTCATAGCATGCTGAGAAAGTTGCCATTTAAAAAATGTGTTCTTACAAGGTTTGCATTGGAAAGTACCAGATACTTGTAAATTGTCAGAGTTAAGCCCTTCTTATGGTTTAACTCTTCATTTTATCTGATCATAGTCGATGAGCTGGATCTGGAAGGCAGAGCTGTGCTGAAGGAGGTTGAACTCCAGATTACTAGGTTTGGTAAGGATGCCAGATTTGAACAGAATTAACTGGGATTAGTGAAATGGCTCCAGCAAGTGGATTTAGTGTAATTAAAAAAACAAAACAAGTTAGGAAAATCCGGTGATTAAAAAGTGTTAGTAGGAAAAATCTCATTCAGCTTCTCTCATTTCAGATTTTACCTGTAGTTCTTTTGAGGAGTTTTGACATGTCTGCACGTTCCTTTACCCTTTCCCTTCCTAGTAATGGTTTTTAAAAACCTAAAAGGATTTTTCATTCATCTTTAATGGATGGAAAGAATTGTAAACAGCACACACCTGGATGTTAGTCTATTTGATAAATGCATCAGGATTTCAGAGCATTTTCGGTACAATGAACGTCCTTACTTGTGCCTTTAAGACAGATGGGTGTTAGTACTAAGGCCCATGTAAGACTACTGTTTTGTTTTGTTTTGTTTTGTTTTTGTCTCTCGGAAAAGGCTGTGCTCTGTTTTGTAGCCCCTTTTGGAGGCCTGCTATAGGCAGACTTAGTACAGTGCACAGCCTCTGAAAACAGGCAGCTTTCCAGCGTGGGGATATGCTTTGTGTTTGTGTGGCTGGGCATGTGTGCACAGATCTGGGCAGTCGGTGTTCATTGGGCTCGGAGCTTGGCTCTATACACCCAGCCAGGCATAAAATCAAACTGACATAAGCGGTACAGCAAACAAGCCAGAACTATTTTTGAAGCAGCAGAAAAGGCAAGGAAAGAAGCAAGGTGGTGAAAACACTTTCCAGCTGAATTAAGACAGCAGCACCCTTGTGAGTTGCGTTGGGGATAGGGCTGGGAACCGACTGTGCCTTTGGTTTTACTTGGAGGAAGGGAGTGTATGGGTTTATTCTGCCATTTCTTATAATGACAGTGTTCATTTTCACTGGGTGAGGTGCTTGCTTCTCGATTTGTTCTGAATCTGTAGCGTATTCTGGGGATGGCAGGACTGAAAGCAGGGAGCAGAATGCAGGTAGAAGAGTTGTTTGTGTTTTGAGAAGGGCTGGGGGGAGAGCTACCTCGCGTGCTGTCGGCTGTGATGTGTGTGGTTCGCATTTTTCAAGATAAGTATCTGTTACAGGAGTTGTGTGCAGATCAAGTTGTCAGATGCTTTGCTGGAGTCATCAGGATGATGTATAAACCTAATAGTCTCCAGTAAATGAGATCGCTATGATAGCAAGAGGTTTAGGTTTTGTGTTGTCCCGGGGTGGTGTAAATATCAAATAGGTCTTTCCTGGAACTGCTCAGAGCTTATTTAATGAAAAAATACCAGAACTGCATATCTATTGATCTGTGGACTGACAGAAGAGGCGTAGAGGAGAGCTTTACAGGAATCTATTTTCAAGGGTAGACCTGAAAAATTCTGCAGTCACTCAGGTTCCTTCTCCTGCTGTGGCACAATTTGGGATCGTGTGAAATCTTCCTCAGTTTTTCAAGTGAACCCTAAATTTACCAGTAGGGAGGTAGCCAGTAGAAATGAAAGGGGCTAGCTCAGCCCATCCTCTTTTCAGCTGCTTTTCCTGTGGGATTTTATTGAGATATTAACACAGTGGTTCACAGTGTTTTTGCTGCATCACAGTGTGCTGCTCAGCAGTTTGAAGAGCTCCAGAGATTGTATTTGTGTGCCAGATTTCCAGTGGTTTTGTGGGCATGGGAGGCTTGTAGGTCCAGGAAAGCATCTGATTAAGGAGTACTTACCAGAAGCAAAGTTGCTAGCCCAAGGAAATGAAGGTTAAGAAACTGTTCAGCAGTGCAATAGATTTCAGGAGTGCGTTTTGTGAGAACTAGGTAGCTCTGAGCCTAGAAGTATCTTTTGGGATCTTTCATCTCTGTCCTGTAGAGATTTGTGGATGCTATGATATGTTACAAGACTGAGCAGCCCCTTCCCCAGCTACATTCATGCACTAAAATCATAATTGATTTAACTTTTAATCGTGGAGTGAGGCTGGGTTGTAACGGTTGACTGTTTGGTGGAGGAATGGCTGGCCTGTCTATTTTTAACACATGCTTTGATACTGTGTGCTATTGTACTTGATACAAAAGCATCAAGCATGCACTCTGTGTTGCATTGTCCCCGATTCCCCCCGTTTTTTTTTTTTTTCACAGCTTTAAGTGAAAAGTCTACAGAAAAGGTGTTTCTGTCCTCAAGTCCCATATGCTGTTTGGATGCAGCTGTCACAAAAATGTCTCTGAATGGGGAGTTGAAAGGATAACTCCATCTTGTTTGCAGTCTCTCAGATTTGAAGGTAGATGCAAGTTGAGTTTGGAGGGCTATAGGAAAGCAGGGAAATTCTCCTTTTTTTCTGGCTAGTCCCTCTTTCACTTCTTACAGTGGCAGGTTTAGCTGCAGCGCTTGCATTTATTCTGCTTGACTTTTATTGTCAGGATGGTCTCTCTTTGCCAAAGTCATGCCTCCTTTAAGTTCTCCATGTGGGGATACATGTTTCTTCCTCCCGATTCTAGGTTTTGAACACGAACGGTCATGCTCTAAAATCTCATTCCCTTATCATTTTGAACTATCGCAAAGCAGCTCCCAGTTTGATCTGGCAGCAGCTTAGTTCCCCTTCCCGAGAGCAATGCTAGGGCTCTCCAAACTGGCGTGCAGTGTTTATGCTCTCCCTTCCCCTCCCACCCTCTCCCCTCCCACCCGCCCTCCCTCCCTGTTTTGCTTGGTCTCTGCTTCTCAAGGACTGAAAACTGCTGCATCAGAAGCAATTCTTGGGCTCCTGGAAAAGTGCACAGTAAGGCTAGTCGGTTGGTAAGGACTTTCTTCCTCTTTCCTCCTCTCCTCCCTCTCCTCTCAAGTAGTTTATTTTTTTCCTCAAGCTCTGCATATACTGTTTTTCATGGCCAGACTTCATCTGTTTTGAAATAATCTGGAAATAGCTGTAAGAAGGGAGAAAGTATTAAGGCTACTTGGAATCTAACTGCTCTCTTTTTTTTCTGTTCATGTTACAAGCTCATCTGCTTTTTACTTGTTTGATAAAGCTGAAATAAGTGCATGTAATCTGGGCCTGTTGAGCTGTAGGAATAACCTTCCTTCTTTGAGAAGGAGACTGATCTTTGCATTTGTGACCCGTGACTGAAATTGTCTCTGCTTTCCCAGAGACATGTGTTACAGTGTTGGAATTCGACTTTGAATTAACTAGTCATTAGCCTGTGTTGAAGAGGGTAAAGTAAATTTAGTGTTTGTAGTTTCTTGTTTGGACCTTAAAGAAGTTGCTCTGTCTCCAGTGTTTTGTTTGGTACTTTTCTACTGTTTTTGACATTTTCTATGCTGCTGTTGATTGAATAATCTATGTATTGGACTTAAAATTGTGAGGAAAAGGGGAGTAAAGAGGTCCTTGTGATGCTTGGGAAGCGAGGTAGGCAGTTTGCATCGTTGGAGATTACGATCTCCTTCCGCAGCAGTCCAGGTGCCTGCCTGGAGAATGACAGTGCAGAAATCCATGGACGTGCTGTGCTGGAGGGAAGATAAGTTGTTCTAGGAGGGTAGAGATGCAAGAAAGAAGAGTCTTAACTACAGAAGGAGATTTCCTTTCAAAATAATTATACTTCATGCTTTTCTCATGCAATGTGTCAGTGAATGTCCACTTCTATTGCAACTGCTTTGGTACTAGAATAGGTGTATTTTTATACATGTGGTTGAAAGAACAGGAACTTAAATGGTGTGTGACCAAGCAACTACATCTGCTTTTGCTCCCTTCTCACCCCTTACCTCCTGCTGCTCCCCAGATAGCATTTGTTAAGGCTTTTCCAATCTGTATGAAGAAATGGTCTCTAAATTATTGGATTTACTTGAGTTTAAGCAGCTAAAAGCAAGATCTCAAAAGGTTCTGAATTGGAGCTGACTCTTGTGGATAGTGGAGGGTATGTTGGAGGGAAGGCGAAGGAATGGGATCATTTCTGCAGGCTATTTATTCTAACTAAAATACTCCCCAAAGGGCTGAAAGCAGTGGCAGTGATATCAGGGTGTTTTGGTTTGATTCCTGTGCTTTTTTTTTGTGTGTGTGTGTGTAATTTTATAAAAAGTTTTAAGTCAGTTATGGTCTCTTTTTGTGAGTTCTGCTGTGCTTTTCTTGGCTCCCCCTATCTAAACAGGTTGTACATTGATGAATAATATCTAGATGCATGGGAATTTTTTGTTACTTTTAATTTTGTAAGGTTATTTTAGATCTGTTCATTGCTTGCTGGCCCTTTTCTAATACCTATCTCTGGAGGCTTGGCGGAGCAGTCAGGTAGCCTGAATTCAGGAGGAGTTTGCTTTCTGAAGAGGCATAAGGGAGTCTGGCTGGATCCCGAGGCACAGGCTGACTGGTATCTGCAGCTTGAATTGCTTTAGGCAGCAGTGAAGCCGTCCGACCACGCGGGTGCTTTGTGGGTGCAGCCTTTGCGGCTCTGGCATGGCCATGGA